AACTCATTAATCACGATGACCTTTGCGTGGGCGGTGAGGGGAAAAGTATGTTGGGGGTCAATGCGCTTATTTGACGAAAACTAATAACATGCAAAACACTAAAGACGTCAGAGCACGGTAAAGTACCGCAGATTGCTTTCACTTTCGACTCGAATTGACGTGTCCGTCTCTATTCTCCCTCAGCTGAAATCTTACTGGTTTCATTCCGGAATATATCAACAGTCTACAGTGAGAAAACCCCCAAGTAAGTGTACAATTAGTAGACAAGTAGTCTAGCGACGGCCATTTCAGAATTGAACTATTAACGGTTCTGTATGTGTATATGCTTGCCACATTCTCAATCAGAAGATCGTGGGGGCAGGGGGGGGGGGTTAACATTTGCTTTCACATTAGTACTAAAGGATGGACCATTTGGTGTCTGAATCGTCTCCGGCTAAACTGAAACGCCACAAACATTTATTCTAATGTTGATCAAGAAAAAATATCTTCTTCTGCGCCTTGTAACGTGTGCTTGTCTTGAAGTGCAGACAACTACAACAGAGAACTGTTCAATGATTCAATCAGATCACAATGCATCTCAAATCGTTTTTTTGTTGTTCTTGTTTGTAAATTCCTGCTAATAAATTTACTACATCAACGCCTGATGCTATTAATCCGGATTGTGCTCAATGAATAACCCTTGGAATTTTCTGGCAGATAGTTTCCTAGCAAGTTGAAATTAGTTTTCAGGTAAAAACATCTTTGTTGCTGTTTCCCTACATTCCATAATTTTTTACCAGACATTGATATGCAGGGTTAGACGAAGGCGAGGCGGCGAGTCAATACGCATTCAGCACCGGGGAGAGGGAGGGGGGTGCTTCCTTATTTGGCCTATAGGCGTACGTGCCATATCTCCATCGGTGTTAAATTCATCTTCGATAGTCCATGTTAATCGGCAAGTTTAGGAAATATTCAAATATTCTCCAAATAGCAGATGTCGTCCTTCGAATTATCTTTTTGCTATGTTTTAGCCAATATTTCGCCAATGGCCTATTTTTTCCTAACGAAACCATTAAAATGTACTCACTACTAAAACAACTCAACCTCCTCCCCAGGCCTTCTCGGTTAAAGGTTCAATAATCTGGCAATTTAATTTTGCTGCACATTTTCAACTATTATATTGATATCATTTTTCAGATATCGCAAAATTCTTCTAAATTTGGTCGACAATAGCTGGCTATGATGAATTATGCATGGTATTTTAGCCAATCAGAAACAGAGAGAAATACTTTGATTGAATAATAATACTTAATATTTGGCCAAATCAGAAAAGAAGGTAATAAAAGAGGGTGGGAGTCAGGAGTGCTGCTAGGGCTCGAGAGACGGGAGGTTTGGACTCTCCTATACCCTTCGTCCTTCCCCCGTATACAAGCTACAAGCTGCATGATGTCAGCTTCAATTAGTTTTTAAAACCTAAAAACTCCTCTAACTGGCTCAGCCACAAAGAGAAAAACCCAATCGCAATGCAGTGCAAAATTCATAACCCGGCCACTATTACCGATAGAATATCTTGGACAGAAGAGATTGGAAATTTAGTTTTGATTCCTCTAATTTTCGAATCACTAGACTTTCAGCTAGGAAATCCGAGCAGATGAAAAATTTTTAGGGGATAAAAATATGCCTATATCTACCGTTTAAATACTAAAATACGTTTAACAATTCTATGTTTATAATAAGTGGTTTTGAACTATATTCTCGTTGGGTGCCCCTGAGAAGAGAGACGGAAATTTCTACCTCTCCTCTTCCCCCGCCCCAAATCAGGTTGATTTGGTGGGGTGGTGGGGGGGGGGGTTGCTGTTCCATTTTATTCTGTCCAAGATTGTATTTTGTGGTCCTAGCCATGGTTATTGATTTGGAACTTGTTATTTGACTCCAGTTACTCATTTCGTTGATGGAGAACAGTACAAACAAGGAAACTGGTTAAGATTACTTTACGGCCTAGGTTCCCATTTCTTGTTGGTGGGGTAGGGAAGAGACCATAGGTGTCCAGTAGACGGGGGTGAGGGGTGTGGCTGGACAAGAGACCATGCATGGGTGCTTACAATTTACACAAACCATCTGATCGCAAATTTGATGCATAACCAGTTAAGTGGTGAATTTGACCTTGTGTGGGAAGAGCTCGCTACAAAATGTAGCCATATCAGCTTAAGAGACTGAGAACAGTAGAGAAAATGTATTGCTTTGGACGACAGCCCGTGTTTTCTGATGCTTTCCAAACAGAATGAGGTGAACCATTTGATTGTCCAACCAGAATGTCCAGTTGATCTGTACCCCATATGTCTGAGCAGCTGAGGGGGGAGGAGTTGGGTGGGAGATCATATCTTTAAAGGTATGGGGATGGGTTTCAATAAAAAATCATGAGTCTCAGCAATTATGGGAATGGTGACACATCAATCTCTTATGGGATTTGGGGAGGGAGATAACTGACTAATCTGTAGGTTGCACGCGCAATGCATTATTTCCAATAACAATTAACAATTATTGGACGAAGTTGAGCAAAATATCGTCATTTGTCAGTGGCGAGCAGATGAATTATTTGCCGAAGCCGAAGGCTGAGGCAAATAATTGATCATTTTCACGCAAGAGCTATCGCAAGAAGGAGAAAAGCACGGTTTCCTTTACGCATGTGCAGAATATTATTTGCAGCCAAACACAGTTGGACGGCATTGAGCATTAGCAGACCATTATTTGTAGGCAGTTATTTGCAGGTCAGGTGGTGGGCTTTCGGCCAATGAAAAGGAAAAAAAATTGCATCGAATGATAATAACAATTCAGGTTCCGTGCGACCGTTTATTTGTCGTACCTTCTTCAAAACAATCTATAATAAAACAATTATTGGATTCGGTTTTTGTGATGTCCTAAATGATCAAGGTTGAGGTAAGTGTTATCAGCCTCAGCCTTCTGCTCGGTTGGTAACACTTACCTCGACTTTGATTATTCCGGATATCACAAAAACCTCATCCAATAATTGTTTACAAACGCACGCGTGCCCGATTGCTACACGCGCGCGTGCCCCACATGATAGCGCGCGCTGGCGTGCGAGTAGACAAAAAGTGAGTAATTCACGTGAAACTAAAGTCCTGACTGATTTATTGGTTACTAGGACCCACAGTCCCATATTTGAAAATCATTTTGGCGACTAAACGGCTGCCTTACTTTGTGGCATTTCCGTCTGGTACTGACTGTTAGACTACGGTTTGTCCTTAGGGGTAGTAGAGCGAGCGAAACGCGAGCGCGCGTGAAAATCACCCCACGCGAGAAAAGGCGACACGCGGCGGGCAGAGAGAAACATGAGGAACTACAGACAAAGCCCAAGCTTTTAACTATCGCTTTGAAGCTTACCAAGATGTCACCAGTTTTTCACCCAGATGACAGTAGACAGAAGACTAGAGAAGTTCTCTTCTTTTTCTGGCACGCTTGGAAATTTTTGTGCCAATTTTGGCCAAGTTTTGTGTCCCCAGTTTCCAGTCCCTAATTAGCAGTTCTATAGCGCGGTCATTTGGCAGCCATTTTCGCTCAAGAGTCCTGGTCAGAATTTGGCCATTTGCGGAGGAATGGGTACTAGGGGAGTTTTTCCCACTCAAAAACAAATTTCTACAGGCTTTAAGCTTTCTGTTGATATGCGATTTGCATGCGTTTACATCTTTCTTCGGCAAAATTTTCCCTTGTACTTTTACTCTCTGTTTCACGCAGACTGAGTTCTCAGTCCTTCAAGAAAAATTGAGTATTTTTGTCGAAAATTTTCTCGCTGGGAAACGTATTATTGCCAGGTATGTTATCGTAAACAGAAGACCTGAAACCTCGGCTGTGTTTTCCTCGTTTTGGTTTTTTACCGGATGCCTCTGCTTCTTAGAGATTTTTGCGTTTATATGGTTCGCTGAGCGGTTTACATGGGGAGCAAGTCACGAAGAAAGAGCACTACATCGAAGAAATGCAAGTCAAATTTTCCCTTTGGGGAGCTCAGTAAGCAGAGGGCTACTCTTCGAGCGGAGTACCTTTCGAAATCAAAGGAAATTTGTACCTTAAAAAAGGGCTTCAGCGACTCAAGAATAAGGTAAGTTTAGCTTGAAAAAGGTTTTTTTAGTGAAAGGAGAGGACTACCGTGTGGCACGAAAATCTTGCGGGTTCTTATTTTTGCGATTTTTCCATCGATCCGCTAAAATTTACTCCAGAGTAAATGTTCTCTAAGTTAAATTCGCTACATTCATTTCGTACAGAAGAAGTGGGAAGAAGTTGATAAAATATCAAGCAAACTCATCTTGTGTGATCATGTCCGCAATTCTCATGACCACTCTGTTTAACAAAGTATTTATATTACAAGGAGAAATTTGATGCTGATCATTCATAGGGCTTAAAGGGTTAACTTATGTTCTTGGACTTTCAGAAAACTCGCATAAAAGAAAATGTTGATTCGGTAAAAGTTGATCTTCCCGCTGTCAAGACTAAAAGAAGGTTAGTTTTTGAAGTGACAGCTAACACATCCACTCTAAGAAAAAAAAAAAGTCCAACTGTGCTCACTGATGAGGGAAAGCTAAACGTGCCGCAGCGAAGTGCCAGCAGAAGACAACTTGAAACGTTGGTTGCAGCAACAGAAGTAAATGGTGGATCTGTTGAAGACAGGTCCCCAGCCTTGGATGGCATGTTTTCTACGCTGACTAAATATGCGAAGACAGCAGCTCTATCTAAATACTTTTCTTCATTAAAAAAGATGAGAAAAGCTAGTCTAGCGTAATAAAACCTCAGGTTAAGCAGTATGAGCAAAGTGATCATAATGTCATTCGTTCACTTTCTATGCTTTATGCAGGAGGATTGATGGAAAAGGTAAAATATGAACAAACAAGATCAGCTCTTGTTATGAAAAATACTAAGAAACACACCAAGAAACTAGGTTCTGTGTCAAAAGAAAGAGTTTTGTTTGGTATGGGTATCCCATTCCTAAACTCCTTCCCTATCGGTTGTTAATGAAAAAAATTGAAGAAATTGATGTGGGGGAATTTTATTCAATAAGGGAAACCCTATGCCATGACCTTCCACCTGATCAGCAGGTTGATGGGGTCTATAGAAACCTGGAGAACTTTTTACTTCTGCTGGCCAAGTTCTATTTTGAGACTGATCAGTACAGGAAACCTGGGGATAAGCTGGTGTGGTTCAGTGAGAGGGAGGGAGCATTTAAGGTTGCCATAGGGGGTGATGGGGCTCCTTTTGGGAAATGGGATCAATCTATGTCATGGCTGATACGTTTTTTTGAATGTGGGGCCCAGGGTAGCTAGTCCCAGTGACAATTTTTGCTTTTTGGAGCTAATTGTAAGGAGGACCACATGGTTGTTTCTCGTTTTACAGTGAAACTTGCTACAGACATGGAAAAAATAGAGAGCAAATCTTGCACAGTATTGGGTAAGAATGTCACCTTTTTTTTTTGATCTCCTGCCAGGAGATATGAAACTCCTTGCATATATAAATGGGGAATTAAGTAATGCGGCTAAATATTTTTCTAGCTTTGCTAATGTCTCCAAAGATGACTGTAATGCACTGAATGGGAAGTATGGAGAATCTCATGATTGTAAGTGGAAGCCTTGGCAGTATGCAGAAAGAATCAATGTTGCAAAACAGGTTGAAGATTTCAAGAAAAAAGTACCTAGTCATTTAGCAGTATCAACAAAGAGATCCAAAGTAACTCAATTTATTGCTGTAAAAAAATTCAGACAAGAATTCAAACCATTGATTGGTAAGCTATGTGACAAGGAAGTTGTTGAACCACTTCACCTTAAGAATAATGGTGTCCAACATTTTCGTGCAATGTTACTTGATCTTGCTATTTCTGTAAGTAACCTCCCCAAAAAATTAAATAGCCTTGATGATTTGCCCTCCAATTTGGCAATGTCCAGGTATTTAAAGGCCATGGAACAAGATGTTAAAGCAGGGAGAATGAAAAAACAACTAGGTAGGTGGCTCCTTGAGGACAGAGCTAAAGATAAAGACTTCACTTACAGGTTAACTGGTAAAGATTCGCGCCTAATCTTGCATGGCTTTATGTATTTAGTGAAAGCAATTCAGGGTGACTCAAATGATCCCAAGTTGATAATGCGACTTCTGCCAATTGTCTTCATTGGTATTCGACTCAGGGTTTTTAGGTATGGTAATAAAGATGAAACAAAGGAAAAATAAAAATTACTTGAGATAAAAAAAACTAACTACAACATATATATATATATATATGTTGCTACCTCAACTCATTAGTAACTGTATAGAAAACACTGTTCCCTCTTCAATGATGAAGGATACCAAAGGCATTCCAATGGCCATAATGGAATTTCAATTCCAACATTTCTTCTTTATATTTATATTTCATAATTCCATTCTTCCTTTCATCAACAATGAGTTCACTTCCCCTTTTCCAACTCCTAGCTTCTTTGTGAATCCTTGGCAGTCCTCAAATTTATTAAATAAGGCACACAGTCTTTTCATACTTGAGAATGTTATTGTGACTGAATAAGGCTGCTCCAAAACATCTACACCAAAACGTGTAAGATTTACAACCCCTTTATTCAATAAATTGAACACTTCCTGTGGCATCGGGACGTCAAAACAAATCATCCAAGGATGGATTTTACTCATCCGCGGACTAAGTCGGCGATAAATGCCTTTCCTAGCACGTATCATTGTGCGCTCCAACATGGAAGATATCGGACAAATTTCATGCTGATATCGATCCCGAAGGGGACCGTATTTTCCCTTCACAACAGCCTCGGCCACTTTCCCTAGCGCTTGAAAAGTTTGATCTAGATCTCTCAGCTTATATACATTTGAAATCCGCCGGGAAAAATTCGACTTCTGGCGATTTAATGCTCCTTTAATGCCACTAATAACTTCCACTTGGTCAGGTTCCCTTTGAGCCGCCATTTTTTTTTTTTGATTCACATGGACCCAATCCTCCGCGCGGCCGCGAAAAGTTGGCCGAATTTTAGGTCAAAATTTCCAAGCGTGTGGGTGAAAAACTGGTGACATATTGGTAAGCTTCAATGCGATATTCAATGTACAGTTTGCTAATTTAGTGAGCAAAGAAACTTTCTCCATACAACGTCTTATAATCTTCTTGCTGTATGAATAACTAATTAGCTTAGATGGCTAGTGTTGTTTTTGGGTTCTTGGCATCCTAAGAGGCTGAAACGCAGTCAACACACATATAAACATAACAAAATACTACAAGGAAAAATTCAAAGTACGTTTCGCTCAATTATGGAGAAATAGGATGATTCTCATAATTGATGTGGCATGAATAATTAATTAGGTAATGGCTAATGTTGCTCAGGCCGGAGGGCTCTCATAGTGAGCTTGGGCTACCTGTGGTTCAGCATGATCGTAGTCTTGAATAGGACTGTTGTTCACAATGATTGACGTTTCCACAACCTTTGAGAGATCTTAGATGATACGAAAGACGAATTCCATATTTGTTTTCTTTAGGAAATATTCAAATGTTCTCTAAATATCATTCAGTTGTAGTCCTTCGAATTGTCTTTTTGCTATGTCTTAGCCAATATTTCGTCTATGGCCAATTTCTTCCTTGTGAAACGAGTGAAACTGTACTCATGGCTAAAACAACTCAACGTTGTCCCCAGGTCTTCTCGGTTAAAGGTTCAATAACTGGCAATTTTACTGCACGTTTTCAACTATTATATTGACATCAGTCATTTTTCAGATATCGCAAAATTCTTCTAAATTTGGTCGACAATAGCTGGTTATGGTAATGGTTATATTCTTCTTCTTGGTCGACAATCTGGCTATGATGAATTATGCATAGTATTTTAACCAATCACAAACAGGGAGAAATACTTTGAATGAATAATGATTTTAATATTTGGCCGAACCAGAAAGCAAATTAAGGTGGCTGGACTGGATTTTTTTGAGGGGATACCTCCCAAGTTTGAGCATTAACTACGTCGCCATGAGTAAAGATATGGGGAAAAGATTACCACAACTGTATTATATAAAGATGAAAATTTCTTATGATCTGGGTTTTATTGCAATCGGAGTCGCCATGGCAACGTAACGACGCCATTACGTTTTTTATTTATCTTTGTGTTTCTCTGTACCGGGAGTTTTTTTTAAGAAATCGCTTAAGGGTGTTTGTACCTGCCATAATTGCCTTAATTATGGCAAAGTTTTTTTTATTGTGAATGCGCGCCTGCTAATAAATTTACTACACCAACGCCTGATTTTATTAATGCGGATTGTGCTCATTGAATAACCCTTGGAATTTTCTTGCAGATAGATTCCTAGCAAGTTGATATTGGTTTTCAGGTAAAAACATCTTTGTTGCTATTTCCCCATATTCCACAATTTTTTATTTTTATTTTTTATGCAGGGTTAGAAGAAGGGGAGGCGGCGAGTCAATACGCATTCCGCACCCGGGAGAGGGACGAGGGCACTTCCTTATTTGACCTACAGGCGTCTGTGCCATACCTCCATCAATGTTAAGTTCATCTTTGATAGTGCATGTTAATCGGCAAGTTTAGGAAATGTTCAAATATTCTCTAAATGGCAGATGTCGTCCTTCGAATTGTCTTTTTGCTATGTTTTAGCCAATATTTCGCCTATGGCCTATCTTTTCCTTACGAAACAAGTAAAATGTTCTCTAGTCACCACTAAAACAACTCAGCCTCGTCCTCAGGTCTTCTCGGTTAAAGATTCAATAGTCTGGCAATTTAATTTTAGTGCACTTTTTCAACTATTATATTGACATCATTTTTCAGATATCGCAAAATTCTTTGGTCGACAATAGCTGGCTATGATGAATTATGCATGACATTTTAGCCAATCAGAAACAGAGAGAAATACTTTGATTGAATAATAATACTTAATATTTGGCCAAATCAGAAAAGAAGGTAATAAAAGAGGGTTGGAGACGAGAGCGCAGCTAGGGTTCGAGAGACGGGAGGTTTGGACCCTCCTCTACCCTTCGTCCTTCCCCCGTATACAAGCCACAATCTGCATGATGTCAGCTTTAAATTAGTTTTTAAAACCTAAAAACTCCTCTGACTGGCTCAGCCACAAAGAGAAAAACCCAACCGCAATGCAGTGCAAAATTCATAACCCGGCCACTATTACCGATAGAATATCTTGGACAGAAGAGATTGGAAATTTATACCCCCCAAGAATTAAGGCTAAGAAAATAGCACGTTCTGGTTTTTGCGCAGCTTTATCCTTGACTTTTTTTTGGGGGGGGGGGGGGTTGGGGGGGCGGTTGGCTTGCTCTTCCATTTTATTCTGTCCAAGATTGTAGTCAATATTACTTGTGGGATGGGTTGTGAGAGGAAAAATTTGTACCGGTCTATGAGCATTGACTAAAAAACAGGATGATAAAAATAGGTTACTTTAACTTTAGAGTCTACAGAGTCTACTGGCGTGTGTCCATCTTAAACACTGTACTGATTAATCAGGTTCACCTTTGAGTGGCCGGTGAGGGGAAAAGTATGTTAGGGGTCAATGCACATATTTAAGGAAAAATAATAACATGCGAAAATAAACACAGACGTCACAGCACGGTAAAGTACCGTGGATTGCTTTCACTTTCGACTCGAACTGGCGTGTCCGTCTCTTTTCTCTTGGTGCTCAACTGAAATCTCACTGATTTCATTCGGGAAAAAATCAACAGTCTACAGTGAGAAGACCCAAAAGTAAGTGAACAATTAGTAGACAAGTACCGTAGTCTAGCAAAGGCCATTCAGAATCGAACTAAACGGTTGTGTACTGTATTGTTTGCTATAATTACGCGGGATGACGTAGTCAGCCAGCGTCTAAAATTCGGTAGCGCATTCCTTTCGTCGTCTTGGGAGTCAAAAATTTCCTTGTTTTTTTAACTTTCCCGTATCCCGTGCCCGTCCCGAAAAATTGTATGGATTTTTATTGGCCGCAACGTCGAAGCACGTGCAAGTCAGGCTGGATTGCACAAGCCGATAAAAGATACTGCGTCAGCAAAGGAGGGAAAAGTAAGCTCACTGTGTAGAAGAGGACGAAGACTCAAGGCCGTGCTTTTAATACGGCGCAAGACTTGGCCTCGGGCGACCCAGAATATTGTCTAGGTGGGCAGGCGACCTGCTGGTGTTGGTTTCTTGTTTCTGTTGAGTTACAGTCAAAAAGCTAAGAATGTCTAGAATTTATTACTTGCGAAATCGTAGCTCTCTCGGTGGCTTCGCGGCCTAAAAAGAACGCTCCTCTCGCTAAGAAACTCTTGAGGTCGACTCTGTCCAGCCCCCCCCCCCGGGCTGACCCC